TCTATTATGTTCCGTCGAGAATGTGAGGTGGGTTTCTTGTAGTAGCAAGATATCTGCTACTTTGATGTTCTTGATTGTCAATCCTGTTAGCAGATCGTTCCATTTTTCTTCTCTATCCACTATGTTCCCAAGTCCATTAACATTCCAACTTTTGATGGCTAGCCCTTGACTTTTCCAATCGATACGATCCCTTGCCTCGTTAGCTCTTAACCTATAACTCTCCATGGTTGCAGTTGTACCGGGTTAGGGGATTATGTTGGTAAGGAGGCATCTAGGGAGGAGGGGGCCCTTTCGTGTCCACACCCTCTCCGGTTACCTTCTGGTCGATCTTCGGCGTGCTCTCCTCCGATGGGGAGGGTGAACCCTTTCCTGAGATAATTGATCCGTCCAACCCTTCCTTCCCACTACCGTCCTTTTCCAACACAGGGCTCAAACCCAGATTTTCTCTCTCGTCATCTCCGTCCCATGGGTCTCAGTCGTTGTCTGAAGTATCGCTCCTATAGAATTTTTCACAGTCGGTGGCTTATGCCCTTGCATCCAAGTCCTCATCCCCCTCCAACAGCCCTGTCAAGACTAAGTGTGCGACTGCTGTAGCCATGAACTCAGCCGATATGCCTGCGTCTGCTAGGATGTTGTAGGGGACCTCAGTCACCGTTCTCCAGGGTTTCTAAATCATCCCGGACCTCAGTTTGGTTGATTCTGGCATCTTGGCGATTAGAGGTGAGAAGGCCCTCGGGGAATTTTTGCTCATCACACCCGTGTTCTTTTGCATACTCTCTGAATCGTTTCGCATGGAGGTATCAGTCTGACCCTCCTCCATAGCGACTGACTCAAACACTCCCAGCGGGGTTTCAATTGTCACTTTTTCCTTGAGAGCTTTGACAACATTCACACCTTCCACGAAGTGAGGGATTTTGAAGGATACATATGTGGCGATCTGCCACTCGTGTGTGTTCGCCACGTATCTGGCTGCAATGAGTGGCCGGATGTTTCTCAGGGTTCTTCGAGCCGTTCTGGCTGACTCAGTCACCATTGGAGCTTTTCCACTTGCTATCTGTGTGATCGTGGTGAATTCTGAAGTATATTCTTTGTTCCATCTCTTCAATTTTTCAGTTTGCGACAACACTTCCTTTTCTGATTCTTGCCTACTTTCCTTGTCTTGGGTCGCAGATCTTGGAAGTTGTCATTGTTTGTGGGGATGGTTTTGTCTTTGTCCTCTGTTCCTTGGTCTCTTGCCCTTTTCTTTTTCGCGTATTTAAAGGCCGCATACTCAGAAACTCTTCTGCCTTCTCCTTCCTAAGCATTTCGTACTGGTTGGCGGAGTTGTTGATGCTTGCAATGGCCCCTTTCTTCCCATTCACCCGGGGCCTCTCTGCGTGTTTCAGACAGGCTACGCGGATATTGAAAGCGTGTCCCCTCTCCCTTTTTGCCTTGTCCACATATTCCCTGAGCCAAGTTAGGGATTGTCGGGATCGATCATCCCCAAGCAACATCTGTTGTGCTGTCCCTCCCTTCTGATTCTCCATCTGCCTTGCCTCCTGCCAGGTCCGATTCCATTGCATCTTTCCCTTTCGCTGCGTCAGTCATTTCCACTTCGTTTCCCTTTTTCGACTCTTCTGCCTTCCGTCTCTTTGGGCCCACTTCCTTTTCCAATTGACTGCAAGCACCGTGCAATGATCGTTTATTATCAGTTTTGGCTTTGTCCCTCCTTATGCATGTTTGCAGTTCGGCTTGTTTCAGTGCTTCTCTGAACGTAGCCGGTTCTTTGTTGTATTCCTGCTCAATCTGCTCCCTTATGGTGTTCAGATCGCACAACAGATCTTCCCTTGCTTTCTCTTCCCTAATTACTCGTGAGTCCGTGAGGGGATTGGTGTTAATCTTCGTTGGATTCCCCTTCACTTTCCGGGTTGCCTTCTCCTGCCACCTGCTGTCTGCTGGAGGAAAGATGTCAGGTTTTTTAACAGACGGTGTTTGATCTACAAAATGCCACACCCAATCTGGCTCGTCTAGATTGTCATCGAAGACCCATTCGTCATAGCAGGAGTCAGCGGCAAACCATATGTCGGGCGCATCTTCCACTTCTACCAACATGTTTGACTGTCTTGGGAACTTAGGGCAAGTAGGATCGGTTCCCAAATGACCCTGTTCTCTGCAACGAAAACAGATCGGGGAGGTTCTGGTCGATATCCTCACCTCCACAACCTTGTTTTCTATCTGGAACTTCTAGACTGATGGGAACACTGGCGGATCATCCGTTTGTACGTCCAGGACTGCTGTCATGGTTCCACAGTGAGGAGCGGGGAATTCTGGCGTCGGTAGGATCCATTTAAGAATTTTATTCGCTGTATAGTGACTTTCTAGTCTATCGACCAGCGACTCCTGGTCCGTAGGGACCGTCGTTTGCGTTGGATTGGCCATCTTTTTCTCGGACATCCTCGATCCTTTCTCTCTCTCCTACCACGACGTCCGTCACACCTTTGCGGGGGGCCAGGGGCGGGGGGCTGGTCGGTGAGAGAAGTTCAATAGAGTGATAATGAATGTCAGATGAGGTCAATCTGAGTGGGATCTTAGTTAGAGGGGGGGAAGGGGGAAGGGCCTTATCGCCAACGGAGGGTGTATATATATGTGTGTGTGTGTGTGTGTGTGTGTGTGTGTGTGTGTGTGTGTGTGTGTGTGTGTGTGTGTGTGTATTTGGGTATGTGTGTGTACGCGGAATAGGGGATGGGCCAGGTTGGGCTCCGGGTGCGGGTGAGTGAGAGTTGAAATGTGGACGATCGAGGAATGGGTGAGGTGGGAAGAGAATGAGTCAGTTGAATGGGAAAGGCGAATGGAAAAGGCGAGTTGAGTGGAGGGGATCCAGAAGAAGCTTGCGTAGGAGGTAGATCGGCTGAAGCGGGGATGAGGGTCTGCGCAAGGGATGGACTAATGGATGGGGGATGGAGTAGATCGTGGGCAAGGAGACAGGAGGACAGGTGGGAGTTTTGTTTGTGGGTGTCCGAAGGAGGGGGATACTCGGTCACGAGAGATAATCGGACGGCGGTTTGAATCTTGGGAAAGGGGTTTGGAAAGGAGTCGACAGCCTGAATGTGGGTAGGCGGAAGGATGCGGGATGGGTTAGAGGCTAGGTGGGAAGGGGGCCAGACTAATGATTCTTGTAAATACTGGTAATGAAGCGAGGGAACAGGGAGGAAAGAAGGGGAAGGAACCAGCTACTCTATATTTCTGATTCGAAATGATTATAGGGAGTGGAAAAACCAAGGATTCGGCTAGGGGGGGGGCCAGGGGGAGGGAGATCGGTGTGGTGGGGGGCTGATGTGCTTGATGAGGACGGGAGTGTGGGTGGGTGGACAGTAACTGACTTGGCCAGGAATTACTTAGGCGCAAGTGAGTAGATCGGCTCGTATGGAGGGGGACTAGTTATTAAAAGAACGGGGCACTGCGGATGGAGGGAAGTGGTGGATTTGTGCCAGTGATGGAAAGATCGCTTACGACAGCGGACGAGGATAGGAGATCGAGCGTAGGGTGCAGGTGACGAGGGGAATTAAGGGGGGGGGGGGATAAGACAAAAGGTGGGGATAGGAGTAAGGAGCGGTGGTCAGGATCATTAGTGGAAAGAGGGTGAAAGGGAGAAGAGAGGGCTATTCGAAAGGGAGCGAGAAGAGGGGCGATCGCGATTGTGACGATGGTTGGATCGATAACGGTCGAGGGGTATAGGGGGGGGCCAAAGGATGCACTTGATTACGATTAGAGAGAAGAAGGTCGGGCCAGGGGAACGAAGACGTAAAGGAATGAGGTATGGGAAGGGAGCGAGGGCCAGAAGGAGGTGTGATGGGGGCTGATGTGCTGATGAAGACAGGAGGGTAAGTGGGTGGGCGGTGATTGACTTGGCTAAGAAATATTTAAGCGCAAGTGAATGGATCGGCTCGTATGGAGGGTGGGTGGGGGACTATTTATTCAAAGAATGCGGACGAGGTGGGGGGGGACTGCGGATGGAGGGAAGGGGTGGATTCGGGCGAGTGATGGAAGATCGCTCACAGCAGCGGAAAAAGACAGGAGATCGAGCGTAGGATAGAGGTGACGAGGGAAATGGGGGGGGGGGATAAGACAGAAGGGCGGGATTGGAATAAGGAGCGGTGGTCAGGAGGGCATTAGTGGAAATAGGGTGAAAGGGAGGAGAGAGGGCTAATTGAGAGGGAGCGAGAAGAGGGACGATCGGGGTTGGGAAGATGGTTGGGTCGATAGCGGGAGAGGGGTACAGGGAGGGGGCCGAAGGATGCACTTGATTATGATCGGAGAAAAGAAGGTCAGGCTAGGGGGACGAAGGCGTAGAGGAATGAGGTATAGGAGGGGGGGGAGGGCCAGAAGGAGGTGAGGAGAAGAGTGTTATTAATGGGAGGTCTCACTCGTCCCTACTTGGCTCTTTTCGATTCAACCCTTGAAGGCGACTACCCCGTCTGATTTCTTTTCGTTCCTTTGTCTATTTCTCTTTCCAATTTCTTTCATTTGAGTGCAATTGAAGGGCATTGTCTTTTTTTGGTTTTTGCACTGTAAGATAAGCAGGATTATAACAAAATGGTCATTTTACTTTCTTTTTTTTAAAAATGAAATTGAAGTCTAATTATTTGGCCCTTAAAATTTGTGAAAATGTCACGTTTTTAGGTCCCAGGGGTCCGACCGGACCCCTCAGATGTATCTGAACTCCATCTGAACTCCATTCGAGTCGAGATACATCCAAGGGGTCCGACAACCTCAGGAGATAAAAACGCAACATTTTTAGGGCGAATAACTAGGTTTCGATTTCATTTGAAAAATATAAAATGGTCGTTTTAACAAAATGGCTGTTTTTTTAACTTTTTTGAAGTTTTTTCTAAAACGAAGAACGAGTTCCTTTCATAATTTCCCAGTGACTTTTTGTGGCCTTCAAGATGTGTTTCACTCAGATGCATGGTACAGACTTTGATCACCTGTTTTCCTACTGGTTGTCAATTGATGGAAGGAAGGTTCAAACCTGGAAATTGTAAGCTGCAAGGTGAACGAAAGGCAGACAACAAAGAGGCTCCATTTGAGGAAGTTCCGGAAGGGGAGGATCCTTGCCGTTCCAATAATCGTTTGAAACTGGCGTTAGGAGCGGCAGCTGGAGTTATTGGGGCACTGCTCCTGGGGTGTGCTGCATTTGCAGTTTTCTATTTCCTGGTTAATGAAAAGCCGCGTGGCAAGGATTCGTCTTCCCTACCCAGGTCCAATTCGTCACATGAGGGGACAGGTGAGGATTCCATCTTCCCTTTCCAGGTCCATTTCATTATATGAGCATGGTTGTGAGCAATGATGATGAGCTGGTAGTTTCGTGCGGGCTATCAAACCACCAGTGCCTTTCCCACCTATTTTGTTCCAACGCAGTGGTTAACCCACTGCGTTATCAGGGCCTCGGCCTACCAGTCCGGATTGGCTGGTGGTGCCAGGGAGAAAGACTTTGTTTTGCGCTCGCATTGGTTCTCTCTTTTTTGGCGCGTAGTTGCAATCTGGCTTGGGAAAAGATCCTCAGAGGGACTGGTGGTTCAATGAATTGAAGTGAGCAATAAACATGTTGGTTGTGGTCACTAAACCCCACCCACTCTACACCACCACGTCACTAAACTCCGTCACCTACCTTCCCACGCTCTCACCCCCTTCCCACCGCCCCCTCTCCATACCCTCACACTGATCGGCTACTATCACCCGTTCTCACATAACCAGTCTCCCAGCGCACCTCCACCTCTATTAAGCATTCCACATAATGAGCAACTCCCTTCCCTCCCCCATTGAAGCATAATCATTTCCCCACCCTCTCCACATCCCTTCCCCACCCCCTGAGGCCCGACCCCCAAATCCACCCTCATAACAGTGTACTCCAACCCCCACCCCCATCACCCAACACACCCAGTATCAAGCCGCACAGCCATCGCCCTCTTCTTACTCACTCCAATATTTTCCCACCCCACGGCCACACCCCATACCATCGGTCTCCTGCTCCACACGCCCATACGGAAGCCACCACTTCGCCCCTCACCAACCGCTCGCCCCCCACCCATTAATCCATCCAACCCCGCACGGGCAGATACATACCAGACCCCAGTAACCAAACTAACCATTACTTGCCGTCCCACATTGTCCACAGGTAAAGGGTACCGTCCAATTGGAAAAAGGACCAGAGCAAGTGTAATTCAGCGAAGAGTAGGAGTATCACACGCCTGTTTCGAGTTTCGCTCAAGCCCACCTCTTGGCAGGGCATCGACTTTGATTATCCTATTATTCAGATTTATTCAACATTATTAACTAATTGTCTCATTCACCCACTTGGTAGCTTGCCCACCACGGCGAGCAATACCGTGTTGTCCAAGAATAATCTACGTGCCAGTGCAACAACGAGTTTTTCAGCAATAAACTGAGAGCAACATCAGAACACAGCGATCAAACGAGTATCTTCCCGTACAACAAAGGAAACTGGGGAAACCAGAAAACGGGAAAACACACAGGACCATCCAAAACATGGCCAGCTCCTATTCAGAAGTGGCGGGCAGGGGAAACTGCAACGCAGCAGAGAGCCCAGATCAGGCTAAAGGAAATAGGACGGCGCAACCTCACATAAGCACAGACGGATAGCCGGGCACACAAGGCCAAGCACAGTCCGCAAACAGATCACATGTACCTACCCCGGCGACATCAGACAAGCAACAATACACAGATAGAATCTCTCAGCCAAAGAGCGCTAGACTTCCTCATCGCGAACACGAGCGGCGACATCAGACAAGCAACAATACGCAGATAGAATCTCTCAGCCAAAGAGCTCTAGACTTCCTCATCGCGAACACGAGTAAAGGTCAAAGTGAACATTCTCCAGGAAACGATTCTAGACCCGAAGGGTGGAGATCAAACAGTGGAGATATGGGAATACCCAGAAGAAGACGAGTCCAGTCTGAATGAGGTATATGAAAGGCACGCAGTTCTGATTAATTTTCCACAGAAATGTGCTGAAATGACACAAATGGCAAAAAAGCCTGGGTCCGGGACAGCCTCAGAGCTCTACAGGAAATACCAGGACAGAACCAGAAGTCAGGTATCATAAGAGGGCTAGACACGCAGTGATGATTGTCATCCCAGATCGCACTGGCCATGGCATAGGACCTGTGTAGGGAGGTCCTATGCCACTGCCAGTGCGATCAAGACACACAACAAGGTCAGTCTTCCCAATCACGAAGAAACAACAGCCCACCAGGTAAGTACACAATATGCCATGTCAGCAGCAGTACACAGCAATGCAATATGCCACGTCAGCAGCAATAACTCGTTACAACCAATCAAGGTTAGCTGCTGCTCTTCTCATCTTTTTTTCCTTGCAAATGCATGTCTGGCGAGGAATGTATCCAGGCGTGTGGCACTACAGCAATGTCTGCTTGCTGTACCTCCCGCCTGATCAAGGCCTTCTTTCCACCAGCCTGACCTTCAATTACCACGTCAGCGGTGCTTCAGTTCAGCAACGATGCTATCTTCAATGGCTGCCTGCCACCTCAGCCTCGGCTCTCTCTTCAGTGGCTGTCTGCCACGTCAGCATGATGTGTCAACCTCTTGAGCAATGGTGTCTGCCACGTCAGCAGGCATGTGCTATAGTGCTTGCCTTAGCAATGGACACAGTCCATGTCAGCAATATCCCGAGGCATGTAAGGCAGCAGTGACCTCTGTCCAATGCCACGTAAGCACTCCACATCAGCATCCACTTGTGGTCCTGCCAGTCTCTGGCAGGTGCCATGTCAGCAGCATAGTCTGCCACATGGCACTTCGATGTCTCTCGCCTCTTGTGGAGTACCACTTCAATAGTGGTCTTGAAGATGCCGCACTTCTCCTTCCACAGCGGACTGCTACACCATCGTCATCATCATCATCATCATCATCATCTCACTCGTTGTCATCATCAGCAGGTGGCGAGGTATGTGGAGAACGATCTGATACCAAATTGTAATGAACCCAGTCTCGTTGAGAAGCCAGTCAACAATGAAATAATAGTCTGAACTCAGCGCGCCTCATGAAGTCTCCAATATCAATTACAAGACCATGTCTCAATCATATGCACAACTCAAGAGTCTCGTCTCATCAAAGAAGAACATAAGAGGGAGAGAAAGAGTTAAGAAGGGACACCGAAGAGGAGGAGGAGAGTCTCAATGATAATCAATAGTACTTGTATGTCTCCCTTTCTCCCACTCCCACTTCGGGCATCTCCCCTATCGCCACCTTAACAATCAATGTTCCCTCCGATGTCCTCTGACATAATTACTGTGCAGATCATAGCAGGGCGCCCACCCTCCCTCCACGTCAGCAATCAGATGTGGAGGATGGCGCATCACTTCCTCGCCTTCGTGAAGACAGCAGCAGATCACACGTGTCATCGCCAGGTAGGCTTCCCCACATCTCCCATCAGTCGCACAGCCCTGATCCTCCTCCTAGCTAATACTCATCACCTAGTCTACATTCACGCGGCTATGGCCGCGCCAACATAATCTCCCTCCAGGCTGGCGCCCACTTCCATCATCTGGCGCCCACATCCAGCTCCAACAGCCTTGCGACACGAAACTAGCATCAAGCCAGCGCAAGGTAGAATGCCTCCCCCAGTGTCTGGCAGACCTTTTGTAGCGTTGACCATTGTTGACTGGTTTGGACCAGTGTCCCCTTTGATGGTAGGTATTGATGCTCCAGATTTGCCCAATCTTGACGGCCTGGATGCAGCCTCGAAGCAGCGGTACCTTTTCCCAGTCAGGTCTGGAATCTTCCGGATACCTGCAGACGACCATTGATATGCATCTGGTCTATGGCCGGGGGTGAATACTGGGTTGAGTTTGACTTCGGGCCTGCTTTTCTCGTGCTTGGTCTGACTCTTTTTCCAAGAGTCAACTACCTCACGTGGGGGCACTGGATGGTGTTTTTGACGCAGGCCCTGATACCCCTTGACCTTAGGTCCTTTCCTAGACATGTCTCAGACTTGGGACATGACCTTTGACCCCTGTTTCTGGCCCTTTGACCAACAGTTACGACCCATGCCCGTGGCAATGTGGATCTGAAGTGAGTTTATTGCAAGATACTTGATTGTGTCAGTAATCATTCTTATGTCTGAAGGATCTCTGAAGTAGGTTTTAATCCTCCTGAAGTGTCTTTCAGAATCAGGACATTAACACACTCTTTGTGGGACCATCAACTGTGTTGTGGTCTGACCAGAGTTTGTGGAGGCAAATACTATTTAGCCAACAAGGATGTTGGGATTCTATTTTCATTGCCTGAGCAGAGAGGCTAGATGGCTGATGAGCAGCCATGACCGCAGTTGACACGCACAACTGTTCTTCAACTCTGCTTTATCTGTCCGATTTATTCTTCTTTTTTTTGGGACTGTTTCTCAATTCATGTGCGTCGTCCTTGTGCAGGGGCCATGCTAATCTTCTCTGTATCGCTCCAATTTTAATGGATGCCCTGAAGGACTGTTGATCTTTTTAACACTCCTAAAAAAAATAGTGGGCCTTGCGTAACACTACTGCGCAGGCCCAACAAAAAAAACGGTTGGGAGGTGGTACCGGTGGGGCAGGCACAATGTCCCGGGGCACGCAAGGTTTCATGGTGCCGCAGCGCCTATCTACCTATGCTTGATCCTTTCCGTGTGTCTTTTTTTTTTTTTTTCTTAGGGCCTCGCTCCGCTACTTGCACAAACGACAAAAAACAGGGTGGTGGATCGTTCCATGTTCTAGCAAGAGATTCATTCTCGTTTTACACGTGTTGTTGTCCTTTCTCTTTTTGCACGTGCTGTTTCCCCTTGCAAGTGTTGTTTCTCCTTGCTTCGCTCCACTGCTCAGTGCATGCACAAAAGACAAAAAATATGGCGGTGTATCTTTCCATGTTCTAGAAGAAGATTCGTTCTCATTTTGCATGTGTTGAGTACTGAGGAGAGGCCCATCGTTTTTGTGGTTTTGTGCATAGGAAGACCCGACTACGGGCCTCGCTCCACTGCTCCCCATGTGCAAAATGAGAACGAATCTTCCACTAGACAATGGAAAGATACACCGCCATGTTAGCCAGGCACATACATTGGGTTCAGGGGTGTACGGACGTGTACGGACTGAGCTAAGCCAGGTTTTGGGCGGGGCATGTTCAAATGGGGGGGGGGGGGGGGGGGGGGGGGGGGGGGGGGGGGGGATGGGGTCACTCAGTCTCCAATAGAAGCCAGTGAATGAGAGTCTCCGCGTGGAAGACTCCTCCGGGCAGAGAGAAAATAGGAGGACAAGGGGGAGCGGGGTGGGGAGGGGGCGGCAGTGGCACGGGGACTAGACTCGGTCGAAGGTTTGCTGCACCCAGCCTCTGGGGTTCCAGGAGACTGTGATCTTCAGCAACCGAGGTTTTTTTCCTTTGTTTGTTACCCATTCCTACTCCATTTCTGAAGTTTGGATTTCTAAACTCTTTGCGTTGTGAAACATTTGTTCGCAAAAAACATGCGCTGCCGTGGTTGTGCCTTTCCCACCTCTCTCCGCCATGTGCGGATCCGCGGCAGGTCCACTTGTTAATCTTTTTTTTTTTTTCCTGAAAAAACAGAACCTTAGAGTTCCGGCTCCTTTTCCATTTTGGGGAGCATCAGTCCGGTTCCTATTCCACCGGCAAGCCTGAAGGGATCACAAAGATTACACCCACAAATATTACACCCTCACGCTCCTCCCCCTTATGGTGTGGAGGTCCGGAGGACAGCATTGATTACTTCCCGAAGGAAGGATGTACCACCCTTCACCCCTGCCTAAGTTATCCTATTCAACTGAGGTTCTGCTTTTAACCTGACTGTTTGGATTTACCCTTGCCTTCCTGGAGCACAGCGGATCTGTCTCTCTCTGCTTCTAGATCGTTAGCTTTTCTATGGTTACTACCCTCTGTTGCTTGGATCCTTTTTCTGATCCTGTACCACCTCTTCTGCTTGCCCCCCTGGATATCTGCATGCTTGGTTGGAGACTTAGTCCGTCGGACGGACTACTATTTCACTAGGCAATCCAAAACTTAACATAGTAACCTCACTTGTGCTCTTTTCACTTGTGGTGGGAAGGGCCGAAGGATGCCATAAATGCCTAAGTTCTTCAATGTGCTATGATCTGAAAATGGAAGGTTATTGAGACTGCTGATTGGCTAAAACCCTAGACCCTAGAATGCTCCCGCTCTGTTCCCTGTTATCCGGAGGTTCGAGGATGTGCCTTGAGGGGGCTTGGGGCGATGGTGGAAAGGGGGTGGGGGATGTGGCTGGGGAGATGAGGCATTATTGGTTGTTGCGCCAAGGACTAGTTAGGTGTGTGTATCTGGACTGTCTACTAGTCTATTACCATAATGATCTTCAGTTTGGTGTCCGGGTGGTTGTAGGGGATTCTCTGGCCCCTGGTCATTGTGTTGGGTTGGGGTAAACCAGTCTTTCAAGGTTAATCTATTTCCCATTATCGAGCGTAGCTTTCCTCTCCAAGTTTTGATGCTTTAAATTTTTCAATTATCATTTTTATTTTTTTTTATTATTTTTTTTAAATTCAGAACCTTTTGGTTCTGGCTCCTGCCATTCTGGGGAGCAACAGTCCGGTTCCTATTCCCCCGGCAAGTCAATGGAATACATAGGAAACTCACTCACGGTCCTCCCCATTATGGATGGGAGGCCCAAGTGGGCGGCATTGATTGCTTCCTTGTGGAAGGATGTACCCCCTCTCACCCCCGCCTAAGTTAGCCTGTGATACTTAATCTGGAAGGCCGTTGCTAATTCCACTGGCCACAGTCTTGCTCCTCTCAGTTCAATGCTGTCAGGTCTGTGTGTTATGCTAGAGCAGTCAGGGACACTTTGTGGATTTCTTGAAAACCTGAATCTTTAAGCCTATTTGTCTTGAGTCGGTCCTAACCCTCAATCCTTGTCCATCTAGTCTTGGTTTTAGTTTCTCAAGGAAGGATGTACCACCCTGTACCCCCGTCTAAGCTAACCTGTATTGTTTAAAACTTGCTTTATACTGCTGGTCTGAAAATCCTGACTTTTGGGACCTGTAAATCCGTTCCTTAGAGCTGAGCCTGCCTGTTCCGCTCTGCGTCTTGGCTCTGTTTTGCTTCCCTTTGCTGGAACTACGAGCTTGGTGTAGTGCTATGACCTTGCTAAAACCCTAAACCCTGTCCCATCGGTTGCTGAATGCTCTACTAGAGCCCTCGCTCCTAGTTGGCTTTTCCTCTCTTCTCTGGGAGGTTTGCTGACTTTTCCTCTCTCCCCTAGGGATCTTCCTTTTTACCATTGTCTATTTGTTAAGATTTCCTGCTTGTCGACTCAGATGTAGTTTTCTCTGTATGTGTTTTTGTGGCGGATGTTTCCTATACCCGTTGTTAATGGTCTTCTGCCGAAGATGACTGTTCCCCATCTGGCATGCCTGTGAGCTGATTTGTGCTATCCCATTCTTGGAATTTTAAGATTGTGTTGTTTGTTTTGGCTATCCCATTCTTGGAATTTTAAGATTGCGTTGTTTGTTTTGGCTATCTTCCTGCCTAGCAACCATTTTTTCTCGAGGATTTTTGACTCGCCTCCCTTTTTGGGGGGTTTGTTAGTTTTTCTTGTTTCCTTAGTTCCCTTTTCCATTGGGCCCTGATTTCCATTTCCACGATATCCTTTGTCTCCTTCCATGCTTCTTCACTTGTCGTTTTCTGATTGCTGAGTGTTTGCTTGCATCTAGATTTCCATATCACCCACAGTGCGGCCCTTCGTAGCAAATCTGTTATAACCGTTTCTTCTTCTTCTACCCTTCCTTCTTTGTCCCTTGCTGAGAGTAGGTAATCTGTTTGCGTTGGGAATGGGTTTGGGGAAATCTTAGACCAGGCTGATTTGACTGCTTCCCATATGTTGTTTGCATGAGGGCATTCGATCAAACAATGAACAAGTGATTCCACTTTGCTATCTTCACAAATTTTGCAGAGGGCGGACTGTTCTGTTCGTTGGTCGACTTTTTTTCGTCTATCAGGCCACTCGTTGACTGGGACAGCCCAGTAGAGTATCAGCCATTGCAGGCTCCTGAATCTGGTGGGCTTTATGCTGCTATAGTATTCCCATGGGATCCTAGAGGGCCAGCCATGTTCCTCGCCTAGGTGCTTGATCCATCTTTCTGAAATAACCGGGTGGGGATCTGCTGTTTTATTCCTTATCTTATAGCCTACTTTCATTGTGTGATCTTGCAAGTTGACTAGCTTTTTTGCTCTGCCGTTACGTGTTCTGACATACCATCCCCATTCCACTGGGTTTATTTCTAATTCTCTAATGTCCTTGTCTGGTCTAAAAATTATCACCTCACGAGGCCCTAACAGACATGCAAGTGTTGTAGGCTGTGAGCCCCCAGCAAGCATTGTGCCCGCCCTAAGTGAAGGCGGGCCTGAATATCCACTAGAGCCTAGAGGCCTATTTTCGACAATTCTTCGTATGTGGGTATCAGACAGTTGCAGCACGCCAGTTGGTTACAAAGCAACATGAGCCATTGCTGGCTCTACTCAGAAGCAACAGCTGCGCTGCACAGTTAAGCCCAGGGCCTGGTTGGTTGCGCCCTGGGCACACACACAGCGGGAGGCCGACACATCCGCGCAGTGGCCGCAGACGAATGAGAAAGCAGCATTGTCGTCACACTACCTCCGCGAGCCAATGAGAACGCGGCCAACACTTAGAGCCTGGAAGGCTACCTGGAAGCGCCCAACTGAAAAGGAACCACGCCGGTAACTGTAGAAGTGGGCCTGGGCACAGACACTGGGGCCCGACTGGAAGCTACTGGAAACTTCCGCAGCCAGGCCCATGCACCTGGAAAGGGGCCGCACTTTCCACAAAGGAAAGTGCCCTGGTCTGGGAAAGGCATTCTGGCCTAGGCAGGCAATGCGGACACGCTGGTGCGTTGCTGCACAAGCATCTGCATGGGCTCTGCTGGTCTGACGCACGCACGGCCGCAGTGGTGAGAGGGGTGCTGCTGAGGCAGCGGGCGCACAGCAGCCATAGCCAGGCAGCTGGGGCGCAGGGCAGCTGATGGTGATGGTGGTCTTCGGGAAGGAGGCGCATGAAGAGGGGCGATGAGGGGTGATGAGGGGTGATGAGGGGTGATGAGGGGAGGAGAGAGAACGTACCTGGTGTATGCTGGTGGTCCGCATTGGTGTTGACGTCTCGTACATTGGTCTTCGATTTCAAAATGATCCAGTTGCAAGAACGTAGATAGGCTAGATAGGCTGAGTAGGATATGGTGGGCGCTGGGCGCCAGACTGGTGTGACCAGAGAGTGGCGACATTGACACCTGAGTTAATTGTATTGCTCTTATTTGGACGGTATGTTTGTGCATTGCACTCTCTGCTTGGTTCATGACTACCTGAGCTACTTCGTGATTTTGCAACTTGGATTTCTGTCTATCGCTCTCGCTCATCATCCTTGCACTGACGAGTCGGCTGGTCGGCCCCTGGGGGTATGGGAATGTTGGGGAGTGTTATGGGAGTGTTAGGGGGGTGATGGGGGTGTTGAAGGGGGGTTGTGAGGGTGTTAGGATGGGGTTTTGCTT